TTGCTGCACTTAACTGAGTACGAAATAGTTTGAGATTTGTACGCTTTCTCTAAGTAAGAATTTGTGTCCTCACGTTCACAGACAAACTCTATGCGATCGATTTTTAAAAAATGAGATCTAGGGAGAACCGGGAACATCTTTGGATTTAGCGTCAACCGCTTCCATCGGCAACTGTAATGAAAAGTGTGGGCTGACCGTTCGAGCAAGCTCTCAACGGAATCCTTGGGGTGCGCCACGCCTTCCTTCTACTTCTACCCAGATTGCGAGGTACCTGAGCTCCTTTTTGGTGTGTAAACTTGCGAAACAACTAGTACTCTCGAAAGTTGGTAATATTTTCGTCCAAAACGGGTCTGGCACCAGTCAATCAAACCTACAGGGATGAAAAGGAGGGTAGGCTATTATATGGGATGCGATTCGGCGGTAACAGTGCTACCTATCCCTGGCACACGCTGTGCAAATCTTTCCGAATCAGCTTGCGGCAAATGTGCCAAGGAAGCCTGCTCAGAACATTTGTTGAATACTATGGTACTTTTTGCACAGAACTTAGGTAGACATCAGAACGTGGCCAAACGAATACTTGTACAAGGGGATGAGGGTGACTTACCAAGTCAAATGACTGCACCTTGGACGGCATCTCCTCAGATTTTGTCTAACTCCGTGTCAAGTATTCTGTAAAATATCTCCATCAGGTGGCAATGAAAATGCTATGCAACACATGTAAATGTGTAACGGTGGAGAAATAGGAAATGAGGAAACGCACAGCTATTATACTAGAATTCTTTGAGAAGTTTTCAATGCGCTTTGCACGCACTACGCTTCTCGGAACAACCGTTCAACTTGAGAAGTTCGAGTGGCACGCCTTTACCTGGGATTTGATCTCGTTACCGTAATGTGGACTGAGTGCTGCGGGTCACTGCGCCATGCTTGCTTAAGGAAGCAGAGCAACAGACTGAATGGTTACTGATACGGTAACGAATGTTGTCATACCCCTGGGAAAGGGTGAAAGATGATTTATTTAATTCTATCCCTCCAGCGCCTGCTTCCATAAGGTTACGTTCCCACATAAGCTGAGGTAGACCTACGCCAGACGGAAGTATACGACATCAAATGTAGTAGAACACCCGAGCGGAATTTTTGAGCTTTTATTGTTCTTATTTGAGCTCTTTTCTACTAAAACAAACTTCAAGCTCGTGTTTGGACCTAACCAAATTAGAGCCTAAAGGTAGATAATACAATGGGGTGGCCTACCGTGGGAAATGAAAATAGAGCTGCTAAGAGGTGCAGCATCAGAGATTGTGGTATGTGATGCAGCCTGACTCGCATGCATGACCCTTGCTGGCAGCAGTTGCTGCCCCGTTGACTTCGGTCTTGAGCGAGTTACATCGGTGCTGAACGCCCTGCTCTACCTTTCTGCTAAAACGACCGGACTCCGACAGCAAGGGACCAGCAACGAGGGTAGTGAACCGTTAGGGACGCGAAGGACGAAGACGACTAGAGTTATACGGTACAACTCGCTAGGTCAGTGCGGGCACCTCCTTCGTCCCGAGCGCGTAAGACATCGGTCGCTGAGGCACAGCCCCCTTTCGCGCATTTCCCATTTCCCATTTTTTCAACATCCGATGCATCGTGACACCTGCTTTTAAGAATTATGTTTGCCAAGGCACATTGCTGAGGAACTTCAGCCAACGCCAGCTTCGATTTCGTTGCACTCTCATCACTTCTTGTCCCGGTCTGCTATCAGAATTCATCAGAATCTCGAAGGCTGAGGTTTCGAACTTCAAATCTTTTCATGATCCAACCAATGCCCAATTTTCGCCAACTTTCATCTCTCCATATTGCACCTCATCTAGTAAATTACTCAGATCCTAAAACCATTGCTCAGATCGGCGATAACACGCGGAACTTTTGAAAACTGCCGTTATTTTGGAAGCTACATGCAGGGGCCATTTTAGCGCTGGAATATCCTCAAACCACTAATTCAGGGCTAACTTTAGACATCACACATACAGTAGTGGCCAGAAATTTATGAACAAACGGTTTTTTCATGATTTCTCTTTTGAAAGTCACTGCAACGTCTCCAAATTTGCAACAATTATTAACTACGTGTTTTATGATCCACACAGAAAATTTCAACCTTCAGCTCAAATTTGGGTTTAGAAAATTTTAGATTTTTCGAAATTAATGAAGGCAGGTGAAAGATCACTTGATCCGTTTATTTGATTTAAATAATGTATAACCCAACAGAACAGTCAAGTAAACAGTCACTAACATTAAGCAAGTCTAGCACATTGCCCAGAACTCTCTAAAGTATTGGATACATAAACTGGATTTGAATGCGGGGTCAACTAATGAACTCACTCTCTAGTGGGGTCTCTCTGTAGTCCCGTCTTTTCGTGGCTCTTTCATTGACATACGAATTTGTAGGTCCTCCCCTAGTGGTTCTGTAATGTTTGGCTCAAGAGTCTGGCCTGGCTGGTCTTTTAAAAGCACCCCATGCTGTCGAAACCACTCCTGCATGTGAGAGGCCCGATGCTTTGAGTCGCTGCTCTGCCGACAGGCGAAGTCAGGTCGGCGGCCAAGCCTACGGATACAAGACACCTTCCAAAACATGACAGCAAACGTCTGCCTTCATCGCTACCTCAGTCGTGTAGCGTGGTCCCACTTTTTTCCAAGGCAACCTTATCAAGCCTCCGCCAAGTTTCACAATTGGCAGCTGATTCTTTGGATCAAAACGTTCCCTCTCGTGGTGCCGTACATTACTAGTATCCTTGCTGTCATGCATCAGTAATATGTTTTTGTCATTCCAGATGACCTTAGAAACCTGTATCAACCTTCGTTTCAGACTTAGTCAATCACATTCTACTCCCACCCACTTCACAGCGAGCGCTCTTCTTAGACTTTGAGAACTAAGGAATACGTAGTATAGACTTAGATTCTAGAAGATGTTATGTATCCGTAGACATGGCTGCCACACGACCTGGCTTTGTCTGTCAGCAGAGCAGCGACTCAAAGCATCGGGCCTCTCACATGCAGGAGTGGTTTCGACAGCATGGGGTGCTTTTAAAAGACCAGCCAGGCCAGACTCTTGAGCCAAACATTACAGAACCACTAGGGGAGGACCCATGGATGCGTATCTCAGTGAAAGAGCCACGAAAAGATAGGATCGCAGAGAGAGACCCCACTAGAGAGTGAGTTCATTAATTGACCCCGCATTCAAATCCAGTTTATGTATCCAATACTTTAGAGAGTTCTGGGCAATGTGCTAGATCTGCTTAATGTTAGTGACTATTTACTTGACTGTTCTGTTGGGTTATACATTATTTAAATCAAATAAACGGATCAAGTGATCTTTCACCTGCCTTCATTAATTTCGAAAAATCTAAAATTTTCTAAACCCAAATTTGAGCTAAAGGTTGAAATTCTCTGTGTGGATCATAAAACACGTAGTTAATAATTGTTGCAAATTTGGAGACGTTGCAGTGACTTCTAAAAGAGAAATCGAAATCATGAAAAAACCGTTTGTTCATAAATTTCTGGCCACTACTGTAGAGTGATATCCTGCAGCTATGTGATAACGAAGTTGGTCTAGCCCAGTTTCAGAGGATTTTCCTGCCTAAAAAATTTGCTAATAACATGCAGCACATGCAATCTAAGGAACAAATGTTTATCATAGTTCTTAATATTAGTTACTGTCCTGTTGGAAAAAATCAAAGGTAATGTTGAAGAGAATCAGTGCAGAGAATATGAATGGCTTAGCAGCCATACTGACTGCGGCAATCAAACTGGTTTTTCCTGAACCGGGTGCGTCTTTTTTCGCCAAAGGTCGGAGATCACCAAACGTTCGATCGCACACTGAAAATTGATTGGAAACATGCAGATTCAAGGCATACTCGTTTGACCACACGGTAAGGTAAAAAATACAGAGAATCTCCTTCGTAAATCCGATTCATCGAGGCCGAAGTTTTATCCGTCCCCCTTATCCAACTCCGAAGATTTTCCTTAACTGAAAATCCTCACTATTATTTTTGTTCTCCCAGCAGCTCTTTCCTTTTCCTACACTACCACTCCACTTCCATTTTTGAGCGGCATAATCGCAACAAATTGACAGGGCAATATGAGAAGTGCACTTGAAGACGTCAGGGTTACAGAGCAGACACTCATTGTATGACATTTCAGTGTTCTCTTGAAATGACTGCGCGCCGTGTTCAGCGATTCCGAAGATGTTTACTATATCTCTCACATGGTGGGTTATATTTGGCGAACGATAAGCTTCACAATTAGTCATGAGTTTACTGAACTGAAGCCTGGCGCCGTGCGCCGTTGCGCAGCATCGTAAATTCCCAGTGAAAATGATTATCCTGACGAGATACTCGAGGTCGCCCATCAAGTTGGCCAGCATTAAAAAGTTTATATCAGTGTGCGATAGTAGATCTCTGAGATATTCTACACGTTCGAGCTCCAATTAAAATTGTTGCGGCTGCTGGATTTTTTGTTTTTTGGCTCATCCAAAGGAGAGAGGGATATATCGAGTGCAGCCATTCCTTCAAGCGAAGGATCACGATTATGATAGAGCTGGGTTCATAGGGAAGCCGGGATGCATAAAATCCCCAAGCGCGAATGAAGCAAAGAAATTCCTTCAAACCCTGCATAATGGACTCCTTCTTTTCCCGTTAACTCTCCATAATGCCACTCACAACAAACACCAAGATCGCTGACATAACATAGCCACCATCCTGTCAAGAAACACCGTGCGTTGATTTAACACATTCCACGGAAAATTTTATTTCATTTTATTTTAGCTGTTGCACAAGGTTAGGTTGACAGATTAATATGTGAATAAAAACGTATTCACAATAGGCATATGACAAGTATAAATATAATAAGGCAAATAAAGAAGATATGGATTAGATAATGCAGCTGACGAGGGAAGGTCAACAGGCCGGTCCGGCCATTTGCAATGAGTCGTATACCGTTGAAGTCGCCTCGAGGCGCTGAGCTCAGAACTGCCTTCCTTATCTGCTAAACGATTCTCTGAACGTAGTTATAAAGCAAGGAAGCGCAGTGGCAGTGCCCCGAACTCGCGAGCAAGAGGTCGTGGGAACGGCTCCTCGGAGAGTCTGTTTCTTTTGTGCTTCGTGAAGATGTAGCCAGAAAGCTTCTAACTTCTTAATTTATCAACTTTGCCGTTAGTTCCCTGTACGAAAAAATTTCGAGCAGTTCCTTGCAGGTTTGGGCAGTAGTCGTCCATGTATGAACATGGTGCCCGTAATGCAAGTGTCAGGCTTTTTCGCGGCAAACAGGCGTGATATTCGTGTTCAGGAGATCAAACTACCCTTGGAGATAAGTTTCCTACCGAATCTGAGATTTTGACCCAACCCTAAAAAATGAGGTGAGTCAACCACATCATATCATCAACCTATCGTTGAACTCTTTGCATGAAAATTGCTCCTTCCAACCAAGATTTTGAAAAGAGAAACGTTCAACGGCTCACATTCCCGCATAATGGAAATGATTTACATGACTCTGCATCAAAATTCAGGGAAGGTGCTTTTCCAGTTAGTTTTCGATTCATACCTTCTCTCGTTTGACTGTATGTTGACTGCCCTTTCTCGAGTGTAGGTCAAAATCTCAGATTCAGCTGGAAACTTGTAACCAGGGAAAATTCGGTCTCCTGAACACGAATATCATACTCACCTGAACACGAATATCATACTCGTTTACCGCAAAAACACCTTATCAGTGGGCTATGAGCGTCGTTTTCAGTCATGGCAAATATTAATTAAAAATAGCTTTCAACCTGCGCAGAGGTGCTCCCTAACTCCTTACACAGGCAGGTAAAGGCAGCAATTGAGGAGATACTGTCGCTAAAAGCCTTTCTGGTCATGTTTTCAAAAAGGCAAAACAGCAAACTCCACGAGAGACCGATCCCATGACCTCTCGCCTACAAGCCTGGAGCGTTACCACTTACGCCACGTCAACCACGACATGCTCCTTCCCTTGGCTTATAGTGGCGACTCCAATGATAGCGCTCATATACTGCGTTTAAGTACAGTGTTGAGGGGAAAACTTCCGTAACTCCGTTCAGAGCACCGTTTAGCAGATAAGAAAAGCGGTTTCTAGCTTATCGTCTCAAGACGAATGCGTAGGTATACACCTCATTGCAAATGGCCGGACCGGCCTGGTGACCTTTCCTCGTTAGAAGAATCAAAAATGGTGTGGCCTGCTAGCCAAAGTTCGTAGAATAATTGTGGGCGAGGGTGGGGGCGGGGGAGTGTCCAAACATAAGAGGCGAAACAACGACCGATCATTTGCAAGCCGCTGGCGCAGGACGACTCCGGACACCAAATTAGTAGGTCCGCCAACTCCTCCTAAGGCCATGTGGCGGGTGGGAGTTCTAGCCAGGAATACAAAGGAAGCTGGTCTATAACTGAGAAATAATTATTGTGGATGCGTGCCTGGAGAGATACTTCCGAGGAAAATCGAAAACCTGCTGCTGGAGCGAGCACAAGGTCAAAGTCGAAACACAGAAAGAAATCGGCAGAGCCACCCAGTTGCAACTACAGCACCCTATACCTCGCAAGAGGCCACATCTCCTTCCCCTGCCCCAGGCTACTGCTTCCTACTGGCCCATTTCTTCCATTCTGCACACCTCTTTATCGTGATCCATAATCGGCACATAAGAGTCCTGCACCGAACACTCTTGTAACAAAAGTGTCGTGGGTAGGATTGAAGGCATAGCCGGTTTGAGTGAAACTCAATCCTAAATTGGCCGTTGCAGGCAAGCAGGTCGCCCTGCCATTGCATCCGCGTAGAGAAAATAAATGGTACTCTACTTAGCGCAACACAAAAAAAGTATAAACAACACGCGCAGCAATAAATAATACTAAAGTGTAAAATTAAGATCAAATAAAAATCAAAAATCTCTAACCAGGAAAACGGTCTATTTGCATGATAGGGATACGATGGGAACCACACGAACTATGTTCATTCGAATACGCGAAAAGGGGTACTTTTCCACAGAACCTTTTCGCACCAACTTTTTTAATCAAAGTCTATTTGTAAGGGTTACTGACGGTCCTAATCATGAATATGGTACTAATTATTCATGCTAACTCCATTTTGCGCGAATTTTGGAACGTCAACTCGAAATGCAAAAATTTGTCACCACGAGGAATCGAACTAGGGACCCCTTTTCTGGTATTCAGAGGGCCGTTCAGGAAAAATTAACCATGGTTCTGTGGTTCCCGCATCTGCCCCTATATCATGCAAAAGACCGTTTTCAAAAAGCCAGGCACGCCCGAAGACCTAACCTTCTCAGTATTGTGTGCTCTACCGGAGCCTCATCAGGACCTAAATGTTATAAAACACAAAGAGGCACCAAAATTTATTTCAAAAGAATCCCAAAAGTTCACAAAGTATTCGAAAAACTCCAAAATTCCAAAAAACACGAAAAGTTCAAAAAGAACTCCTTTGAAATCTTCTGCTATATTTCGGTGTTTAACACCTTCTTCAGGCATGTGTATGCCTCAGCCAAGGATTTAGCCCTTACGGGAGCCGCGCAGTTGGAGTGGAATTTGAGATGAAATGAAAAATATGAAAAAGATCAAAAAATATTCAAGTATTTGACGTTGATCAGTGCAATTTAGGGATGCGCCACGCATCCACTTCCATTCAAAATTGCCAAGCAATTTGACTGAGACTAGGTTAACAAGGAGCGCGGCTGCAGTCGTTATGAATCAGTATTTTATTCTCTCGGCCGAAGTCTGATACTAACCAACACTGGGAGAAGGTTTGGTTGGCCCGGAAGGAGCACGATCTAGAAGTTTTCCCATTTCCGAACTGTTCCGATTTCCGATTTCCGGGGTATCTTCAAGAGTGAAGACTGCGCAGCACTTGCGCGATAAAGTCTAAAAAATTGATTTTCTGGCAGTTTACTATGCAGCTTCGCAAATGCACTTGAAAAACCTTTAAAGGCTCATTTCTAACCTCTCTCACCCGACGGGAATCCCCACGATTCATGCATTGTATGCCAGTTTATCCACATTGTTTTCGGTTTTTTTAACACTGGCAAAACTCACGCGCTGTTCTTTCACGTTGTGGTTGCGTGACCTTCGGTGGCGAGATCTCCGTCACCACAGCGTCGCGACACGGTGAGATGACTGTGACATCAGACATCAGTTGAAGCGCTGAACTTCACCGAATTGGCATTGTTACACAATTTCGGGCAATTTCGGGAACAATGACATCTTCACGCCCTCCGATGGTGCTATAAAAGTGGAAAACTATCGAGTAACTTCAAACAATCGGCTTAATCATGCTCTTTCAAAACGTTATTCTGGTATCATTAGCACGTGCTTGTTTATTACGGTCGGTTATTTTTCTATCTTTTTATTTACTTTCGAGATTAGAAGGTACGAAAAGAACTTCAAAAAATGAACGATTACAATATTTAGGTAGTGTTAGCGTAGAAGGCCGAAGAGGACACGGCCACAGTCACAGCAACAGCCATGGACGGTGAGAATATCCATTTTTTTCCTCGACCCAAAATCTGAGGAGAATCTCTGCCAAAGGGCAAGGATCAAGCAATACTTGTCATCTTTTTAAATTTCAGTGGTGGGCATGGACGTCGGGACCGTCTCGCGGTAAGTATTTCTACTGTTTGTTTTTCTTTTACCAGTTTGTTAGTTCCACTATCGGCTGTTTTAACGCCGCACAGTTCGTGTTGAAAAAGCTTTACGTGGAGAGATAAAATAGAAACCCCTGGTTTTATTCTTCTAGCTCAGATGTCCCGTATGTGTGGAGAAGAGAGAAAAAAATGCCCAACATAATATAGAAGTCATTCAGCAAGCCCGTCAGTAGCCCCGGAAAAAAGCAGGAGGCCTAACGACGCTCTGCCTGGCGTTGGTCAACTCATTTTGGAATGCGCCATGCATCTGCTACAAAGTCTCAAAAAGAGTTTCTTCCAGACTTACACTTGACCCATGCAATGAATTATGAGAGCGAGCTGGTGTGAAGAGTGATCAGTGTTTGTACCCGCCGCCACTGTTACCAGATCAGATCAAAGGGATGAAATGGTAGGCCTGGGCAGGGTCGAACTATTGACCTTTGGGGGATTTATACCCAGACCAAATTTGTGGGCAGTTGCCACTACCCCACCCTGAACCAGTAGGTTACATTGGCGGCAGCTAGTGGTAACCTGCATGTTGCTCTTTACAATGAGCTCTTTATTTCAGGTGGACGTGGAGGATTTGGTGGTGGACATGGAGGATTCGGTGGTGGACATGGTGGTTTCGGTGGCGGACATCATCACTTTGGAAAATAAAGAGATACTCAGCGACTGTCATCAAATTTATTTTGTGTATAAAGATCTTTCAATACGGTAACACGTGCGTTGCGCAGTTCATATCGAGTGGGGTCGTATTTGAGGGGGGTCATATTTAACTCTTTCAGAAGGTGTCGTATAGTTGGCGATACTGAAAAGGTTGAAAAAGTGTCCGTATTTTTGGAAGTTGAAGGAGTCGTGGTGGCGGTTGAAGGGGGAGGATCGTATCGACTCTTCACAAGAGGTGGGTCGTCAAATTTTTGGGTATTCGGAGAACGCACGGTTGACCCTGACCCCAGCATCACGTTTATGTGGTGATTCCTACCAAATACGGAAGTGAGGTTGTCTATGCGGATCGTTGGCAACGAAAAGAGGGAAAGAAGCCCTTGAAAATACAGAATACATCTTCCCTTTCTTGGGCTGATGGACAACATCACAGTTCAAGCGGCAACATCCAGATAAGAGAAGGAATGAGAGCCGATTAGAGGGATAAAGCCCCAAGACGAAAATGTAAAGCAGATCAGAGATACGGCACACATGATACTGTAAAAATCCCAAATGCGCCTTGAAGCGCTAGTCTTAAATCGACCTTCCAAATCTGCCAAACTGATTTCCGATTGGTGTTGTGGAGCGAAAGAGTAGTTGGGCGAGAGGTCGTGGGACAGGGTCCTTCGGCATCGTTTACTTCATTCCTCTCATTGTTAACCTGGCGCTCTAGCAAAATATGGAGCATTGTAAAGGCATTGCATAGAAAACCGTGTAAAACACCTCCCTCTGGTTGAAAGAGGACTGAGCCGCAGGCGGGAGAGGAGACCTAGTATGCCGGCGACAGTTTTCATTTTTCCTCCCCCCCCTAGTAGTTCTTTCCGCCTTGAGGGCAAAACATAGTGACAAGTGGCACGCTCACCACGCGAGCGGTCCGGGGATCAAATCCTGGGTCGTGAGTCGCCCGGGCCAACCAAGCCTTCCATCCCTCCGGGGTCGGTTAATTGGTACCAGACTTGTCTGGGAGGATAAAAACACTGACTTGTACATCGGCTGGCCCCCGCAAGTCATTGTATAGGCCACATCGCATTTACGAATGTACAAATGGAAGTAGAATGCGTGCCGCATCCCAAAAAAATGGAATTGATCAACGGCAAATGCTTTATATCCTTTATATCCTGTCCCCCTCCCCGGTTAAGTCCTAAATGATGCCCCGTATCTTGCGATAGCCCCGCTTACTATTTCTAAAAGAATTTGTTCACTTTTTATTTCAACGCCGCTCGTCCAACTTGCCCGTATAATTAGTTTACGATGAAGTCTGGGCACCATTTGCTAATGGCTGCTCATAGTCATGCGCTAGTGGTGCCAAAGTTCATCGTAAACTCTTTTAACGAGTAGATATAGGTAAGCCTAGCCTCTTTACGATCTCATCATTATTCAATTTCCTAATGCGAAATTTCGTCTGAATTACGATTGGAGTTTGAGGGCACATTAACTTACACAAGAATTACACATGCAAGGTAGAAAGTTATGTAGTAGAAAACAGGACATCGGCGCTAATCGCATATACGGGGGCATTTATAATGTCAAATGATTTGAAATCGAAAGGGTCGTGGCTTGTGGGAAAACAGAAGGGAGCCTTAGGCGGGGTAGAGAGACTCCTAGAGGCCATTTCCATTTCCCCAGAGCTTCAGCTTCCCTAGGCTTGGCCTGGAGGCTGCCGCCGTATATTGCGATAGCGCTCACTACTCTAATATTACTCACCTGTACAATTGCAAAGGAAGTGGACACGGCCTCCGCAACTCCTGTTTTGTTATGCTTTCAAGTGTTTTCATAAGGAATAAAGCATTTGGCGTTTATCATGTTTCGGTAACCGCCACGCATTCTACTTCCATTCAGAATCGGCAATTTGAAAGCGTTTCGGCTAAACAATGAGTTGCTGGGGCCAGCCGATGTACAAATCAGTGTTTTTATCCTCCCAGACAAGTCTGGTATCAATCTGGATGATCTGGAGAGGCTTGGTTGGCCCGGACGATGTACGATCCGGGAATTGATCCCCGGACAGAGCACGTGGTAAGCAGCGCCACTTGCCACTGCTCGATTTCCGTTCTCCTAGCGTTTTCACACACTCCTCAAAATAGCTCGACCATCTACGTGCTACTTTCAAAAAGAAACCTCCCCTGATGAATTGCAAGTCTGAAGTGCGTCAGCTAGAACGACTCGATAATTTCACCAGCGGCGGGTCTTAAATGCGTGCGCGATGTGGGCCATCTGCGGCCGCACTTCCCTGCCTTCCCCGACTCTCCCCTCTCCAATAATTGTATTATTTGAGAGAGCCAGAGAGGAAAAGGAGGCTTTGCTCCCGTCGAATCGATGAGGTAGGCACTCGCCAGCAAGCTGACGACCAACATGGCTGGAACAGCAGACGCTGCGGTGAGTATCTTGTTTATCTTATGTTTCATCTCTAAACTTAGTAGCTGTAACTCTTTTTAGCCCTACACAATTATAGAGTATAGGGGAGACCATTGCCCATGGGAGGGTACAATTGCAGCACCCTTAGAAGAACTAGAGGGGTACGGAACTCAAGTGAAAGGGGATGTTTAATAGGAGCTAAGGGAAAGTTGAGGCCATAGAGCTAAGGTGTCGCCGGTCATAAAGGCTAGAGAAGGGTAAAGCATTCAACGTTGATGCGATCATTTGCAGTCTGTGATTGCGCACCCATTCTTACCCATACACTCCGAACTATGGAATGCGCCAACATTCATTGACTTGCGGTGGCCACCCGGTGCGCAAGTCAGCGTTTTCATCCTCCCTAATGGGTCCGATATAACATTAATCGATCCCGGGGGGATGGCAGGCTTGCTTAGCTTGGACGATGTAGGATTTGGTCCCCGGACTTGATACTGCGCCACCTCCGCCCGTAAGGAGAGTCTGACCATGTTTTTCCAGACAACCCTCTTAAATGTTGAAGTTGGATAGTAGATAAAGGGTAGGCAGTCAGGCACTTTCTATATAAGGATTCACTGAATCCAATAATCAGTCATTTTTTCAAAGCGGAAAACATGAAGAGATTTTGACTAAACCAGTTATTCGTTTAGTATTAAAACAAATACATATCATAAATAATCTGAATTTCTAAAATGGCCCCATGAGCTAACGGTATATAAAGCACCACTTCTTTCCTTTATTGCGTTCTTCTTGAAGTTTTTGCCTTTCAGTCGGCATAGAACAGAGCTGCCTTTCGGAGCCTTGAAAATGGCCCGTCAGCGTTGTCCAATTCACATTTGAATAAGGGGACGCCCAGATGCTTTGAGCGGTGAATGGGCGCAATGCCCCAGCCTAAGGCGACAAAACGCGACCGAGCGCAAATGTCCACCCACGAAACGAGCTCAGCTTGCCGCATTTGGCGTATTCGCTCGAAAAGTCCCGAAGTTTGAGAATATTAAGAAGATTAGCGTTCAGTGATAGGTGTGTCCTCATATGAGTTTTCTCTGTTGAAATTATGAAGAGGAGAAGTTCCGAAGTGTATTTGAAGCACTATGACTATCATGGCGGACTTTATAATAAGAGCTTTTCGATTGAGAAGTTCTATATAAGTGCGGAACTGTGTGAGGAATTTTATTTTGTCTTAGGAGCGCAGCGGTCCGTTTGAACCCATCCGTTGCGTAACAGCACCTATACGTAGCGGAGGGGTGTAGTAATTCTGCTAGCTTTGGGTAGGGGGTGGGGCGTCATTTTGCAGTTAGTGAATATCAAAGGTCCAACGAAGGGCGGTTTGTGGAGGAGGGGCGTGGTTCGGGAGAGGAAGGGAACCGTTTTGACAGGATTTTTCAAGAGATGGATGGAAAATTTCACGCAAGTATAGGCATGGCGTGTTCCAATTAGCTATGGGAGGATTTGTCTTATTAAATCTACCTTCTCTCCTCCTCCCCTCCTCCTCCCTCCCTCCAATTCGTACGCCCTTTTGAATAGGCTAATCTGGAGTGGAACAGAAGTTGGGTGTGTCAGTTAAGAAATGTGCAACCAGCCATGGCGAAAGTAGGCGGTAGTTGGGTTGGTTTAAGGAGGGTCGTGTTTTAATAATTCCAGGCAGGCGGTAATGCAGGTATCGAGATCTCTTCGAAAACAAGTCGCACATAAAGATAATGTGAAACTTATCTAGATCTATGGCTTTTTCGCTTTTTAATGTTTGGGGCCTCTGGTATGATTTGCTATTCAGAGAAGTCCAATAAAACTTGAGTAAGATGAGCACCAGTGCCTGAACATACATCCATTCTCTTCGAGGCCAAAAAAGTGACGAGACACCATTGTAGCTTCTAAAATTTATCCACACTGGCAGTTTTAAGAGAATGTGGTGTATGCGGCAAGAGTGCTGGCATAAGTCAGGTCAGGTCCGAGTCGGGGATCAGAATCTTGGCTGGCACTCGTAGCTAGCCAAGCATAAACCTTCCACTCCTCCAGGATTGATTAGTTGGTAACATATTTGTCTGGAAGGATGAAAACACTGGATTAGGGGTCGGCGAAACCCGCAGGTCGTTGTCTAGACCAATTCACATTCGTAATATAGATCCTTTGATCGAGCTTCGCGGACATGAACTTATTTCGGCTACGTTTGCGTGGCGCACGATCGCCTCTTCGGAGTCCTTTGACAAAAGCCAGAGAATGCTTTGAAGCACTCCTGTTTCGAAGCAGGAACCAACAATATTATTACTAATTCATTAGCCAAGTATTAAGGAAGAGATCGTTCATGAATATTTCTGGCACATTTCGAAGTGGCCACCACATTTCTGGAATGGAAGCCGCAACCCTTTTGCACTTTTTCCTGAGTTGGTTCAAGGCAAGGAACGAATGGTTTTTGAAGAGATTCCACTGATGACTCTATGAAAACCTGATCGACGCAATCATTGTTTGTATGGAAAAGGACTTCTCCTAAGCAAGTGTTCTATTCGCTGTGGCCCAAGACCAAATTTCGATTTACAACCTAAAAATATCTCATTGAATTTCATTCAGCAGATGGTGATCTATTCCAAATTAGTCAATCAATTGCTGCATATGACAAAGAATTTTCTAAAAGTATACTAACTGAATATTCTTTTCAGAAGAATGCACTCAATTCGATTTTCGACAAGACAAAGGACGTGCTCTCCACTGCTGGTTGGTGAAAAATTTTCGGCATTTTTCTTACGATAATGAACCTTATTCCTTTTAGGATGGGACTGGGGGCACAGATGTAAGGTGAAAATCTGGTCGGAGGGGGGAGGTAGGGTTGGGGGCACTCCTATTATTTCATATTTCATCTGTAGCTCCTTTGGGCTCCCTAACCTGACACTGAGATAATAATATTAGGTGGCACATCACATTTTTAATTACTGTTACTGACGGTAGGAGCGGTGTGCGTCTTACATCCCACACACTACACTACTTCACCTAGGCAAGGATGTCCGTTGCTCTGGTTCAAGACTGCTTCGGACCATTGTAGGCCGAAATGTGAAATCACTTCAGGAGTACTTCCACCCTAGGCCGGTGTTGATAACGTGTCATGGCGCTGCCTTAATCGCCCATTAGTCATCAAGAAGCATTAATTGAAGTGTTCCACTCCCAACCGTCGTTTCATCCAGCCATTGTATGAAAATCATTACTTTTTTGACCGTAGCGATTCTTTTTCTATTTTAGCCGAAACGACGAAAGGATATGCGTCTCAGGCGCAACAGGCAATAGGAAAAATCATCCCGGGCGCCAGTCATGACCACGATCCGGTACGTGTGTTTGTTCGAGTCCTTGAAGGATCATCTTAGCTGCATTTATTGGATAAAAAAGTTAGTTGAAAATGAATAGCCTCATGTTTCGGGTTTTAGGCAGCTGCAGGCGCTCCGGCACCACCCACCACCGATCCGACAGCTCCACCGGCGCAGTGAACGACAGCAGATATCTTCACAAAAAACCCAAAAATACCTTTTAACCCCTGTACGCCAATTGTGGTACTCTGTTCATTTTTCTTTGTGAATATCTTGTTCATTTCAAAACATTTCTCATTCCAACACAAATCGTTGTGCGCTCTGATCTCTAGTGCTGCTGGAATTGCACACCATTCCATATGAAAGTTTCCCTAGTCAGAATTGTCAGAAACGTAATGTCTTGAGAGCGACCTCCACTTTGGCGCCAACTATTCGTGTCTTGCCAACGTAGACATTTATGTGTGTAGTAAACTATCTATTCATTAGGCTATATCTTTATTCAAATCGTTTACTTGGCATTGGTGCTTTGAAGAGGTTGAAAAAAGTTTTGCCGTCTAATGTATGATTTTGAGGACGCGAATCTTCACAGGTAGGTCTTCAGGTCGTCCCCGTTTCTAAACGTATTTCACTCGATATGGGACACAAGTGCCTTAAGAATTGACTGTTCAGAGTAATGTTTCATTTCTGCGCGGCCCGTGAATCCAAGAAGCCAGGAAATGTCCGAGGTTCAACATGTCCTGTGAAAAGCAGGAAATTTTCGCTCCTATGTCGCTCACGATTTGACTCTCGAATCGTGCTGGCCTAGTGCCATCAATCCATCATTAACCTATTTTGTTTTTTTCTTATACCTAGGGGCGGAAGTGCAGTGACAAGTGGCGCGCTCACCACGCGAGCGGTCCGGGGATCAAATCCTGGGTCGTGAGTCGCCCGGGCCAACCAAGCCTTCCATCCCTCCGGGGTCGGTTAATTGGTACCAGACTTGTCTGGGAGGATAAAAACACTGACTTGACATCGGCTGGCCCCGCAAGTCATTGTATAGGCCACATCGCATTCAAACCACTGCGAATGTACAAATGGAAGTAGAATGCGTGCCGCATCCCAAAAAGGGATTGATCAACGGCAAATGCTTTATCCTTTTATCCTTTAAAGACTGTAGGTATTTGCTCAGGGATATACGTATACGAAGTTATGTAGCCTACATCGAAGCCTTATACATCATGCAAAAACGTTTTGATAAGTTATTACCCCGTAAAGGATCTCCTTTGTCAGTTAGGCCATAAGAGCCTTCGACTCCTTCCTGAAGGGTCGAATAAATGGCGTGAAAGCTTTTGAAAGTCGTTAAATTCCAAACGCAAGTTGAAGACCACCAGCAATTTTCAGTCCAGGCAGGAAAAATGCGTCGTGTTTCGGTCACCTTAGAAAAAGTCTGGTCCTATTTTCATACTAAATAGCACATATTAGGTAACGAAAAATTCAGATGAAATTCTTGTGCCTCTACTTGAAAAATTTTCTCAATTACTAAAGAACCTGAATTCCACATAATCTTCATCGTGGTCCATAAAAATATAACAGCTGAAAGAAACATTTATATTTCTGAAGTTCAGAACTTTCGCAGTTGCTAGCAGAAACGTTGTAGACCCCAGGTTCGATTGTTAGTAAGCAATGATTTTTTGCCGCTCAGGTGATGCTTAAATGCAGTAAACGTGATGGCTGATGGTGGAGCGGTTTTGATAGACGTCATTGAAGGACCGGGCTTTACAGGAGGGTCAAGCGTGCGTTGAGGAATCCTCGACATGTCACAGGGGGGGGTCGTATTGGCCCGCTGGGGAAGAGATCGGGCCGGATTGATGCAGTAGGATCATCACCGTCGGAGGACAAACATCAAGGATCGAATCGATCCATGGAAGGTGAGAGGATTTCCAACAACAATTGTTTTATTACAACAAGGTTCGAAGTAATCTCAAATCACGTTTTCAACGGATATTTTATCTTTCAAATGAGTCCTCAATCTGAAGGGATGTGAAGCACACGGCGCATCCCAGAGTGGGCCCATTCATTGCGCGCGCTTCAACTACGGCTCTCTGAAGAAAAATCTCAATTCAGGAAAAATCAAGAGGATTCTGAAAGGGTCCGTGTGAAATTACAGGGAGGAGTCCACTATTCAACAAGAAATGCAGCCTTCAGCGTCAAATTCATGAACACATAGTAAGTGTTAACGCCAAACAATTTTACACTTGTTGGGAAGAAGAAAGCACGCGGATTCCGAATCTGCTCCACTTTGTACATAATCGCCCCTGAAAGGATATACTATAGCCGTTGAAATAGTGCCAATGCAGCGAAAAAGTACCTTTCGGCGGTACTCGTGCAAAAATCCTCAACGTAGCCGTTTTTTTAATACTGGACGTTTGGAGCAGTTCTAGTAAGCATTTGATAGAGCAAATCTTCTAGTTTATGATGACGACTTTTCAAATGGGACGAGCTTCAACGGAGCTATTCACATTGAAAATTCGTCAACATTTGAAGAAAGTTATAATCATTTGAATATTTGTTCAAATTTCAATAGTAGATAAGCTGCTCCACGGTCAACGCCAAAGATCAGTCAACACACAGCTGGCTAAGGCGGTTACAAGGCTTCTTTCAACCGAAAGGGGACGTGTAGAATTGAGAGCATACTCTGTGTAGTACTAATTTGGTAAGCCTTCCAAAGGAAATAAAGGAAGAAGAGATGCTGCCATAGTCTGCTTTTTTCATGACTAGTTCGTCGTTTTTTGCTCCATTTGTTGGTAGGACTCATTGATAATGATCTTTTTTGAATTTTGACTTGTTTTTGTTTGTTAACTGCTGTTTTTGGCCGCAGTTCGCCTTGCGAATGTTTCACAAGAATGCTGGGTTGTGAACAAAACTTTCGCCCCAGGCGGGACTAGAACCCGCACCTCTCGCTTTCCGGGCAAGTGCGCTACCAGTTACGCTACCGGGGCACCATTTCATTCCAACTCAGCTTTAGATCTTTTTTGAGTTTTTCTACTTTTTCTACTTTTGTACTTCTTGACGACTTTTATGGTGGAGGGTGGGGTAGCAGGGCTTTTTTTTATGAACAGTTTCGGGGAGAATTGAAACAACCTTTTCATAGCTTCGGCTGATGAAAAGGTTTTATGGATTCGGCCTGTTGGGCAGGGGGGAGCCGTATCCCGAAACTTTTCTCGACACCTTGCTTGACTCTGCTTCACAACGCGCTGGGAGCGTGGGCGCGACCATCATTCCGCCAACCACGCTCAGCGACGTCACCAGCATCGCTCCGCCCTCTGGCCATAGTGTTCGCTGCCTTTAAGAGCGTGAAACAGGTAATAGTAATCGGATAGGGCTAGGTCAGGCGCAGGATAGGACAGCACTTCTCATCCAAGTTTGTCAATTTCATAACGACACTACGTAGCGATTCACGAATAGCGTCAGTATACAGGGAATAGGAGAAAGACATTCTCCCACCTTAGCGACTTTCTCGTCGCAAAAGTTGACTTGACGGGAGTTCCTCAGGCAAAATATCCTCGAATGTCCCTCTATAAGTAGACGCAGGCCCTCCTTCACTGCCCTCACCGTCTTCAGAATATGACGTCATCTGTCATCGTCGTCAAGCTCAAGGAGGTCTACCGTAAGTGCTTCAGCCTGAAGCTCTTACTCACTCACTGTTGGATATCTTCCTGGAGACATTGACTCTGACTATGCAACCCCCTCCTATCCAGCTTTTCAGTCAGTTTATAATAAGTTTTCAATTTATAATAAAATTCGACATTTTTTAATAAGATGGAAAGTGCTCTTCAGTTTCAGGGAGTATTCGGTTTCAATTCAGCAAATTGTGAACAAATCCATTTGAATGTAGAGGCATCATATCTTTTTCTATTGCATCCCCACCCCTCGTGTATATTGAAGAGACCAACTTTGTCGCGTTCCTAGCGATCTTTTGTGGCTGGAAAGCGTACACCTGAGCGGTCACATTGACTTCGGCAGGGAGCAGTTCGGAAAAGCGATGGTACGCAGGGATCTCTATGTGACAAACGCACCAAAAAGTATCTCCAGCGATGTACAGAAATCTCAATTCATCCAAGACTAGAAGAGAAGAGGAATTCGTCTAGTTTCCTTTGCCCTACTCCTTTTCGTTGTATCTTTGGGAATTGAAAATCCCAAAAATTTTCGTGGTCACTCTGCCAAAAAACCATTGAAACC